TTTATTAACTTAGTAGTCCCATTATAGAAAGCATTCCCCTCCCATCTCACTTGAATGTCGATCAGATTGTATCTCAGGTCTTAGACACGCTGGAAAGAAACAATCTTTGGACTAACATAAACATTGTATCGATTGAACTTCTAAGTAACATCAAGGAAAATATTATAGCTCATGCTGAGTTAGTCACATTGGTGTACTTATTTGTGATCCTGTTATTTCTTTTAGTACATTGGAATTACTATGTTAAGTTATTTGAAAGATGATCGGGAGACACAGCTACTCAGCTATTTTTACTTCTACTGAAATATTTTGCTTGAATGATAGCCGAAACTTTTCGCAAACTTATGGTTGCATGTTAAATTTGCTTACTCCCCTACTAAATGAGTGTTCTAGAGAACGGAGGTTTTGAGTCAGAAACAGAACTTTCACTTTTTCAGTACTGTAGCTTTTCCATTCAATCTTACAAACTTTCTCTTATAATTTTCAGTACTAGGTTTTTCCATTTACTACAATTGACGATATTGTAAAGGGTAATATTATACTTACAATTTAATTTTACAAACTTTCTTTTACAATCTTGATGTCACAGTTTGCAATGAGCCTGTTTATCTAATTGCGAGTTAGCATATTGAAGTTGTAAGAGAAAGTTTGTAAAATTAAATTGTGAGCCAATCTTTATTATATGACAAAATGGCAAAAAAGTATTTGTTCATATATCATGGAGCTGCGGCTGGCAACCTTTTACTTCCTCTAGGAGTTCAAGAAAATCAGTTACAACTTACAAACCCGTGAAATTATTTGTATGTTATAAATAGTACATATGCATCACAGGAAGGTTACTTTAGAGGATTATTGCTCAGTTTGGAAGGGCTTGTATGTCTTGAGACTTTGGATGAGACCTTGAACGGATCCAGCAAGAGCAAGAAGTGATACTATTAAGCAGGTCCAAATTAGTATTTTCATCCATACCCAGGTGAAGGAAAATTTCTTCATTTTGGTCCGGGCAATGTACATCTCTACGGGGAAATAAACCGTCAATGGCCAGAATGAAGCCGCTCCAATAAGACCGACGAAGTCATTGAAGAATGGGAATATCATGGCTAGCACCGATGTCACAATAACATATATTGTTCTCCACACCAACCTGAACATGTTTACATAATATAAACCCAAAAAGGGAATGTTAACACCATGCTCAGTATTTATGAAGTTGCTTTCTGGCCAGCGTTTGTGACTCCATTTCTCCACGAATCCGAATAGGGGTTGGCAGAAAACCTGTGGATATTAAGATCATGTCACAACTGCAAATTGTATACATTTTAATTTCTAATGTAATTTTTCATGAATTTACCTGGTAAGCACCAATTAGATGTATAGCAATGCACACATTTGCCAAATCAATCAACCAAAAAGGCTCATAGAATCCGAAACCAGTGAGGAAATTTCCAGGTGCGTTATTTCCAAATGCTAAATAACCAATGCAACCACACATTACATAGAACACCGTCGTGGTTAAGACACCAGCAGCACTTGCCCTTTTCATGGATTTGTTCTCTGGTGGACTCGACTTCAATGTGTCCTGTAAAATCATATGAGTTTTAACGATCAATTTATATTTGGGCCAAGAAACAAAGGATTAAAGTATTTTGACATTAAAAAGATTTAATATCAATTAAAGAAACAAATAATGATTTTTTTATTTTATTTTTTATAACCGTAGTATCCGTGTTAATTTGTATATACCTTAATTAATTCCTCTAATTTATTAAATATTCTACAAATTTAAAGAACCAATTACTCAAAGAAAAGGAGAAAATATTTTTCACCGCGAACCCAATCTTTTGGGTTACAAATCGCGGTTCTGCTATGGTCCGTGTACCTTCAAAAAGATAAAAAATAAAGAGAGAAGGCCCCTGTAAGGTTGGAACTAGTCCATTCAGTTCTGTTCAATAAAGTGATTCTTGGAGACAAGACGATTTGCGAATGACTAGATAGGAATTAGGATGGGACAAAACAATCCTCTGCTAACAGTTGTATGATTGCAGATACACAGATAAAAGCATGGTGGATTAAGGAAGACTCCAAAGTAGGCTTCTGAAAAGGCTACCACAATCAGTGGACCAAAATCTATTGATGCTGGTCCACCGATTTCGTGGTCCATAGGAATCTTTGTAGTTTATAATTATCCCTTCCATCATCACAACAGTAAGACTAAATAAACTTTTTGTGACCGTTGCTTCTTCACAAAGTCCGCGTACTTTTCAAGTTGAACCTTATCTAAACTTCGTTACTGTTCTTCACGACACTTGGGCTTCATTCACACATCTCTCCGCTGATTCATTAAAAAGTTTAATTTTGATTTTGCAACTTTCCCCCGACTATTAGGGGCCGTATAGTTTGAAACGCCACCAAAAAGACAGACACTCATTTTTGTAAATTAATCATAATCTATTCAATAGTTTAATGCAGTATATTTTCTACGCTAATAAGCTTTAGACATTTCATCAAAGAAAGATTTCATTTTGTCCTCTTCAATTAAGATTTGCCTAACATGATGTTAGGTAGAACCTGTCAGACATCAAATTTTTAAAGATCATGCCATGTTGGCATTTACTGAGGCACGCATTTCAAGTTGATAATGTTTTAAGATCTTTTATTCAAACAAAACCAACCCTTCATGGATGCATGCATGTGCTCATGTACTACTAAATATGAATAGTATGTAAATGTTGAAAGGAACTTACCTGAATTTCAACGAGCACAGTAGAGAAAGCGTAAGCAAAGGCCATATCTCCCATTGCCTGGAATGCTCTCCAAACCTTCTCCGATGCCGTCACGTCTACCCCAACTGTGGTTCCCGTTAGAGTTGTTCTTGCGTGCGACCCATCTTCACATTCATGCATGAATCCTCTCATTAGATTTAATTAAATTAAAAACAATTCACATAGTTTATTCATGAATAATTCTTATTTTTACCTGCAGCTTTGGCTATGGAGAGGCCAAGACCTATGGAGGAATAAGCAAAAGACATAATGGCGGCCATAATTGAGAGCCATGATAGCTTGTGGAAGTTTGGTATTTGGCTAAGAACAATCTGAATGCAGGCAAAGATAATCATGAAGGGATTGTTTGATGTGGAGCACTTCACATCGTGTCCATGTTTGTGGAAACAATTTGACCTTTTGACAGCCCTGATAACGAGGCATGGAAACAAACAATTTCGTAATTAATTAACAAGAACAATATACTATTGTGCCATTCAATGGCTTGAAACTTCTAAGTTTCTTGTTGACTACTTACACCATACTGATAGACGCAGTGATGGTATAGCCAACTGTAACTCCAATGAGATTTCCATACTGAGCCAATCCACAGAGCTGAACTTTCCGACCTCCTAGAAAAGAAAAAGAAAAAAATAAAGTTGAGAATTTGAGGTAATCTATTGAAACACTTGCACGTTGTAATTATGAAAATGATGTTGGAACTAGTAGTCTTAATCAAATAGCAGGTTAGTCAAAAAGAGAAGTTTGAAAGTTTGAAGAAGACTAAGCAACCGACCTAAATTGGCTCTCACGACATCCATGTAGGTGTAATTTCTCTCTCCGGTAATAGGATCAGGAGACCTGTAGCAATCGGCGAGCAAAGTGGACGTAAAATATGTGATGAATGAGAAAGCCATGAGAATGGCTGGTCCAGCTACCCAACCGAGCTGAGCTATGGCCCATGCCAAAGATAGAACTCCAGAACCAATCACAGCCGTTATGATATGGGCACTAGCAGTTACCCAAGTTCCTTCAATGTTCAAAACATAAGTTTATAAACTATTGAAACCAATTAACATATATGTTCACGTTTAAATAAGAAAATGAAATATATATATATATATACCAGTTCTTTTTTCTCGACCATCATCGTCAAGAAAGTTCTTGCGAATATCACCGTTCTGATGATAGGTTTCAGGGTCTTGTTGTTCAATAAACATAGTGTTCTTCTGCGTATCGCTAGCCATATCTCTCTTTGAGTTGCTTGAACTGAAATGGTTAACGAAGTAAGATGTGAATACTGAATACTAAAGTGAAAACGAAAGAAGTAAAATTATATATTGAAGAAGGCAAATAGTCGAGAAAATATGAGTTGGAAAATGGGTAGTGAGGACTAACAAAGTCAATGGTAGTATCGTATGTGTAAAACAAATAGCATTAGCCGGGTATGGTTTCAAGGAGCCGTTTCTCAGGTATATATAATATTTGACAAGGTCAATCAATTCATTGTATATATAAAAAAAGAAAACACTCTAGCTATGCCTAAGAACAAGGGCTTAGATTGGACTTATATAGGAACAGTGGTCAGCAGCACCTTAAGTGGTGGCTGTGTTTTAGTCTTCTTTCTAATCTCATTTTGGTCCCCACACAATTTCTTTCTGGCTTTCTTTTGTCCATCCATTGATTATTTGGCTTTATACAATAGCCAGCTGTTCACTGGGGAAAGAAATGTGAAACCTAATGTTTGACTGCTTCCTCATAATTTTGATAAAGTCGGTTACTTTTTCCGTTCACACTTTTAAAACAACACGAAATTTAAATCTCTGTGGATCACTTCTAAGAGATTGTGATGTAAGTGAATTATGGTGTCATCACTTCAATTCAAGGTAAGATCAACCTCCCCTAGACTTTGCAGAACTTGTACCGAAAGTTCCTGATCTCCTCTGAATAATATCCAAATTCTTCAAATTAAGCATCCGTAATTCTATTTGCTTCCGCCATGTGAATGACTAATGTTGATTTTCCTCCTGAAACATAACCATCAGACTGAGAATATTATCCACGTGTGACTAAATTAATCCTCTTTCTAATTTGTCCTTTTCTATTATTCCGGTCGTGCAAAAACCATCTTCAATGCTTTAACTTACCTAATTCAGAAGAAAGATTCCTAATTACATAAATTTGTTCTAATTCCCTTCAATATTTTTAAGTTGAATTGAGTTTGTAAACTAAATGGTCCATTGTTCATAGAAGCAACTAGGCATGCCATATTCTGTATAATTTGCGTAGAAATTCAGTAACCAATCCTACATATTATCGTCAACTTTTAACCTTTTTTTTTTTTTTTTTTCCTGTTTTAAAAAATAAAATAGGAAACAACTCTTGGGAGTCTGAAAGTACAATAAATGACTTTTCCTGCTGGTGGACCGTTGATGAGTCAATAGTATGTGCCACCAAAATATCATCCAATAATGAAAACAAAACCACACTTCATTTCTTTCTGAGTCAAAATTTGAAAACAAAATTCTAAGTTTTTAGATATGTAATAATTTACTATTAACTACTTCGAGTGATTGAGTACTTTAATAAAAACTTTTAAATATATTATTCAATATATTTTAAGTTCGAATCTTTTCTCGAGTATTAATAGAAATAGTTATTAAAATTCTTATCCGATCGATAGTTTTAAAACTTTAAAAGATTAGTTGAAATATGCATGAGTTAACGCAAATACCCTTAAAAAAAAAAAAAAATATGTGTAATTAGTTAGTCCGGTATTTAATATGACTATTTGCTCTTAACCTTGGATCGAGGTCCAAAAATTGACAGAATTTTGATAAAGCTAAATCCATAAAAGCAGGATGGATACTCCTTGTCCTATAGCCTAAAATGAGAAGTTTGTCTTTAAGGAGATAATAAGTAAGTCAATTATTTTTGCCTTCCCTATAACTTCACCAGGACCGATGTAAATGCATGGGCTCATGCCTCATAGTTTAATTTGTAGTTTTGTACCTCTAGTTCTATCTTGATTAAAACAAACTTGAGAAGAAATAATAAAATTAAGAAATGTCTCCATCAAATAATCGAGACAGGATATATAGAGAAGGCATTAATGTTTTAAACCAGCATCTTATTCTGCAAATGGGTGATGGTGCGGTTTACCAAACTCTAGCAATTATTCTGCATAATCCAAACCGCAGGAAAATGACAGTCTCGTGCAATTGACTCATTTCTCATTGATAATGCAAGTCATTAATCTATCCTGGGAAGGTACTTGTACTATTAATTTGATATGTAATTTTCTCTGATGGTTGCCGTTTGTCATATGTTATCCGCGTCCTCGGGTACCGTATCGACATGATTTATGAAGTCAACCTCTTCAGGATGACTGGGGTTACGGATGTATTATATTCATAATACATGAGCTAACAGAAGTGAGCCAACAATAGAAGAATAAATCGGATATATTTCTCCATTTCTGTTTGTGAGACCTTTCTCAAACAGTCAAATTTATTCACGCTTAATACTGCTTTATATATTTATATATATTAATTTCAATCTGACCATATCACGTCTTGATATTTTAAATCTTGACCAAAGACTTCTGGTTGTGCGTGGAATATGTTAATTAAAAAAAAAAAAATTGTAAATCCTATTCGGTCTCGAGAGTTTGTAAAATTTTATTTCCTAGTACTCGCTCAAGACTATTGATTCGGATTTTTAAGAAACTTTGGATTTTAGTAAAGGAAGTAAGGAACGACTCATCTCTTGCAAAGTGATTGAGCAATTAATAAACCTCTGAAGTTTTTATTAATTTTTACTTTTGAAATTATTTTAACCATCACTAAATGATTTATGATAAAAATGCAAAATCAAAAGTTTTTTAGTTCAAATCTATTCAGACACTAATAAGAGTAACAATTGAGGTTCTTACCCGATTAACAGTTTCAAAATTGTGAAAGATTAGTTAAAGAATGAACAAATTAATTCTAGCATTTTTCATAATCTCAAAAAAAAAAAAAAAAAAAAAAACTATATTTTTCTTATATTACATACACATGTCAGCACCCCCAAATCCCAATTGACCATTATTGTAAGAGATGCCAATTCTTTCTTGAAATGGTGAGCCATCTTGCAGTTATGTTGGAGTGGAAGTCCACTAAAGGATCAAGTATCACGTTGCTGTTTCTTATAGATATGAATTGATTAGTGCGATTAATCTGCTATAATTATGGGGTCTAATCAAATGAAAGGGCATTTCGCATCCATTCTCAGACTGTGACACCAACCTAATTTGACTGTCTCTGGATTAAACTCATGCACCAATGTCTTGTACTCCAAGTAAAAATATATTAGGGGCACACAAAAGATAAAATATTCCACCAGTTCAATATTCTCGTGCCCACGGTGTAGTGATTACATTAAACCCTGATGCAGATATTCTTTTGAGATATGATTGGCATAAATATTTTTTGACAACTAGCATCTACTTATATAAAATGCCTCTTATAAAATATTATGTAAATTTGATTTTGTAGCATCTCCCAAGGTGACTAGGATGATGAGAGAGTCGGACACGTACGCATTTTAGAATTACTTGTGTAGATAAATTATTTTATATCTTTGGAATAATATTTAATTAATTATATGATCACACCATTCATCAAGATCTCCGCCATATGGTTTTTTTTTTTTTTTTCTTTCTTTTCTTTTCTGATTGAGACGTTTGAGCCAATTTATGTATACCTCAACTAATTCTCTTGGGCTTTGAGTTGACAATCGAGTAAATCCCTTCAGTAATCACCCCTATTAACAACCTAAGGTGGATTGAATTCAAGACTTTTTTAGTAATTTACTCAATAGTCTTAGTTAACCGTTGGACCACCTAGTGATGATTAGCCATGGCAATCTTTCTCTCTCGATCAGTACTCTTGGCCTCACCAATTCTACATCTTTCACACACAACTTTAACTTCTTTTCTATAAGAAGGCGTTTGGTTGGAGGTTATATGTGATTACTAGGGTTATGTCATCTTATATTACTTGATTACCACATTTGGTTATCAAGTAATATAAGATTCAGGTAATCTTCAAATACTAATAGTAATTCTTATTTGTAATATTTCAGGCAATCTGATTATCTCTATTTTCTTAGATATTATAAGATTGTCAAGGTAATCTTTTTTTTGTTACAATTCTATCCATTCTTAATAAAATTTTAGGACAATAATACTCTTATTTTTAAATTAATTTACATGAAACTAACTTTTACTAATTCACCCAAATTAATTAACTTTTTTGGACAAAATTACTCTTTAATTAAAAACAAATTGTAGCACACCCAAGCCACCACCCCTACCCACCTGCTGCCACTGGCGGCCAGCCGCTATCGCTGTCAGAACGGCGCACGAAAGGTTGGAAATGACCGTCATGTTCTGATATGGCCATTTCCTGTCCAGATCTTTGGAGGGAAATGGCCATACAGCTCACGAAGGCCATTTCTTGCCTTCAGTGCACTGTTAGGTTGCCAGCCATTGACAGTGGCTAGGTTGATGAGGGTGCATTATTAATTTTTTAAACTTTTATTATAGAATTATTTTTACTAAGTTTTTAAATGTAAGAGATTATAATAATTTAAATAATAATAATATTTAATTAAAGACCAATTCAAAATTTAAATAACACATTAATAAATTTATTTTTCATAATTAAACATATTAACGGAAGGCATCACTAACTAATCAAACACACTTTTATAAAAATTCGCAATAATCTTCTAGTAAATAGTAATATAATTTTTTAATAATTTAATATTCTCTCCACCAAAGGGTTGTGACACCTTTCTTTTTCTTGAAGTTATATCGCGTTAAAAGTGTCTTGTCACGGAACCCAAAAAAAAATAAAAATTCATGACAGGTCGATTTATACACAACATTTACTAACAGACACCTTAGTACTATATATACTGTCATTATCGACAACCCTTTAATTGCCAAAAACTGAATCTATCTCCGGTCTTAACAACAATACACATAAACCGCGTAAGCATTTGTTGAACCAATACAAGGAAGACGTAGGATTATGAATGGTGGGTAAGCAGATGACAAAACACAATAATTAGCGGGAGCAGAAACCATGTTCAAGTCGGTCGAAGAGTCCCCGTCACAAATCGTATTTTCATGAAAAAATGANTCCAACCAGATCCACGGTGGATCTAGCCGGAAAAGGCCAGATCTAAGGCCAAAGATCTGGCCGTTGACGGCCAAATCTTTGGCCTTAACAGTTGGCCATCATTGAGAGCAAATACGGCCAGATCCACCGTGGATCTGGCCGGAAAAGACCATAGCGGCGCATGACCGGCAAGATCCAGCCGGTCATGCGCCGATAAGACGACTCCTGCCACCTCCGGTGGTGGTGGCCGGCTGGGGGTATTTGAGGGTGGGTTAGGGGTGTTTTTGTTAACTTTTAATGTTTTATTATAGGGGGTATTTTGTAAAAAGATAAACATAGGGGGTATT